AACGTATCAAAATTAGCTGCTTCTAACCATGTTCCCCATCGCGTTAAAATAGGTTGTGGTGGAAGAGGAATGTTAGGTAGCATTTCTTTATAAAGTTGAATTCTTATAGGAGATTTAAGAAATACTTTTTTGACACTGGATATCATGGTATTTACAAGAGGAAACTTTTTTCGTATTTCCTCTGCAACTCTGTTTAATCCATGCTCTACACAGGTAACATGTATTAAATCTGGGAAAAATATTTTTAAATTTTGTCCTGCTTTCACCATATAAGGAGCAGCATCCGATAAAATAAGCAGTAATTTATTAGAAGGAATAGTTGTCGGAAGAAAAAAAGTTGCTAATGTTTCTTGTATAAAACGCGAAATTGTTAAAGCATTTGTTTTCTCAAGTTGCTGGCATGAAATAAGATGAGATTTTGATAAGGTATCTTCTTTAAGAACACCAATGAATAAATGAGCAATATACTTTCCTGAGGAATCAGTGGTTTCGTCTACAGATATGTAAAAATAATTATCTGCAATTTCTTCCTTAATATTAATTAACACCGACGAGTATAGCCCGTTCACATTATTTCTTCTTAGAGACCGATCACTTGGAACATTAAGTTTGCAATATTTTTTTAGAAACGAACTAAAATTTACATTTGCTAATTTTGAAAGCGGTATGTTTGCAGACACTAATGCGCAACACGCAACACAAGTCTTCATTAAAAGTTTCTTGCTCATCTAATTTTTTTGAAGTAGATTGGAAATATTTAGCCATTGAAGTTTAATGTTTTCCTCCTATTTTTCCTTTTTTTTTTGCAATGTGTGAAACAGTTCTCACATGTTGGTCTATCTGAAATTTCTTCTCACATCCTATCTATAAATAAAAATAAAAACCTTTATTTTAACCCAACCTTTAAAATATAAAAATATACAAGGTGTTTTTGGTTAATCAAATAACTGGTTTAGAAAAAAAACACTCGCTAAGTGTTTTAAATGCAGTATTAATCCACAAATTAGTTTTTGTTACTAACCATTAGTACATCATATAATTTATTTTAAAATTCAACAAAAGTTTTTTTTTGTTAATTCAATTACAATAAAAATAATTGTATTTTAGAATAGCTGACTTCATAAAAAAAAGTAAAGGTGAAAAATTTTTCTAAATACACACCATCGTATTGTACCATGGACAATTTTTTCTCACTAAAGGAAGCTATTTTTCATTTAAAAACAACCTACGAGTACTAAATTTCAAGTAAATACGTTTATTGGTTTTAAAGTTATTGTTGTTATTAACTAAAAGAATTTAATTTTTTTTAATTTTAACACCCTGTATCTCGAAAAGTAAATAAGTTTGACCCCTCATTAACTATATCGTTTTGTTCAATTTTTCGAGAAGTATCTACAGTCAAACGTTGTAAGTGTCATTTGGAAACACCCTGTATGTATGAAATATTAGATATTTAATAGAAAATATTAGATACTTACAATTTTGCCACAGACTGAACAGTAGATTTTTCCCATATCCATAGACAGCTCTTTATAAGGTTTAATCCAAGTTGAAGCACTGGTTGTTTTAGGCATTATAAAATCACAATCTTCCTTTTTGTTACGCACAACGAGTGTTTATGCTTTGAATATCAAAACAAAAATGATTTACAAATCTGAGCATCAAATTAGAAATGTTTAGGTACCTAATTCAATAAACTGGGAGATTTTGGAAAATTCCTATATTAGGAACAAAACTATTAGCCGTTTACCTGCTGTTAAGATACAATAAATTGTAGATAGATTTGGGGATTAGATCATAAAATGCAAATGAGCGAACCCTTAGCGATTATCCAATAACTGAATGCCTCAGTGACCGAGACTTTCTAAGAATGTTGAGGGCTACTTAAATTGATCTTCTTTGAAATTGTAAATGTTTTGTACCTGTAGAGATTACGTACTTAGATCATTTCTTGATTAAATGACAAATGACTTGAACAAAATTTTATACAAGAATTGAAATAAATTGGTATGTTTAAAAATTTTCAAATACAGTATAAAAATCTGAACTTTTATGCACTTTATGCAAACTTTTATACAAATATGCCAAAATATGAAATATTTGCATAAAATATGCACAATATGCAAAATATGCAATATGCATATTTGCCGAAGTCTAGTCATCACCGTAAGGTCCGTTTGTCATTATGCTAATTTCAGTACTAATATCAGTACTGAAAATATTGTGTATATAAAGTGATTTTAATAACGAATAATATAAGATATAAGATTGAATAATAACGAAAAATATAAGATTGTGTTTGCAACTATCTTAACTTTAATTAGCATGTGGGCATAAGTTGTACCAACTTTGCATTGATAACCTAACAATGAAGTTTGTTTATGATTAAAGTAAACAAAACAAACAGTTAAATAATGATGGTAAAAATTAGTTAAAATTATGTGCCCTAGCTTTAATTATAATACTGATGCTTAAAAAAAGGAATTATACACTTAGGTTATGCAAATGAATATTAAATACACTGACCGGCAAAAAAATTGGTGATTCTACAAATTTCCGAAAATAAAAATTCATTTGTTTTCTGCACTGTTTCAAATTGTATTTTCAACATTTTTTATTATTAAAACAAAAATGTCTATTACTGCTTAATTCCTTGGCATAATTTATTTAATAAGAAGGCTACAAGAGAATATAGTGTAATATCGAAACAAATGACAATTTACAACAATAAAAATTACGAGTGAACTTAAACAAAATTATCTGATATCGGATATTATACTCTAAAACATCAATAACCGTTTGCATTCGATTTCGAAGGGAAAGGAAAAAAATTTGAATACAAACTTGAGGAATACGTTCATATTCTTCACGAAGCATGTTATTAAGTTCTGTAAGATTTTTTGACTGGCCTGCTTGACTGCTAACCCTACGATAAAGTTCATCCCAAATATGTTCGATCATATTCAGATCATATTTGTAGACTGGCCATTTTAGAGTATTAGTTCCTACTTTTCCCAAGTAATTTGTCACGATGCTTGTGTAAAGACAAAATTGTCCCAAATTAATGGAACAGATGGAATTACTGCTTCTGGAATTCTGTAAAAACATCCTCTATATAACGGTGAGCATTGAGGAGGCCATTGATGAAAAAAAGTTCAGTTTGAGCTTCAAATGAAATTCATCTTCAAAACTTTCAAAACCTTTAAAACAAAGGCAAGGTTTTTGCAATAAATGCCTCAATTCTTATTACATTTTTTTTAAATCTATAATATATCTACTAGTCTTCCCATTTAAAATGTATTGTTGACTATTGTGAAATAATTTAAATTTAACAAAATATACAATATAAAATATAAAATACAAAACATACTTTCATACATTTCAAAAAAAATACAAAACATACTTTCATAGCAACCTTAATTTTTATGATATAATGAACTCATTTAAAACACCTTGATGCATCATACAAATATATACCTACTCTTTTTTTATTTTTTAATTTTTGTTTTTTCAAAATAAGTTCTGGCGAATCAAGTCGTTTATTGTAAAATCAAGTTTATTTTAACAATATTTAACAAAAAATTTTAAGTTTTTATGCGGAGAATATTGCGAAAAAAATTAATGTTTAATATTAGGTAAATAAGGTTATTTTACTCTAAACTTAAATGATAATTTAAGTAGCTTAAATAAGTCTTTTTAACTAAAAGGAGTGCATGATCAGTAACGAGTATTCCCCCTTCTAGCTCTTGTTACTGCTTGCATGTTTCTCAGCATGCTTGCAAGTATATTTTGGACATATCCTTAGGAAATTGCATTCCATTCATCCTGTGCAGCCAGCCGAAGCTGCTCTATCGTATTTGGAACGGGATTTCTTTGTCGAATGCTGCGTTTTAGGTGATCCCATATGTGCTCCATTGGATTTAAATCCGGGCTAAACGGTGGCCAATCCAATCTTCGAATTTGGACCTCATCAAGATAAATACTCACTATGGTAGCGGCATGTGGTCGACCATTATGGTGCATTAACATGAATATTTCATATCCAATGTAACCAACATATGACAAAACATGGTCTTGCAGGATGTTTTAAACGTAAGAGTCACCAGTCATCTGTCCAATTACTTTCGCAAGTGTGGTACGTACCTCCCAACTAATACCTTCCCAAAGAATTATGCCATTAGCTTCAAAACTAACGGTCTGTATTTCGTGTAAAATTAAGAACCAAAAAACGGTCATCCATTGCGGTTGTGCAAATTGGGCATCCTTGACTAGGCCTTCGTACAAAATTTTCTGTTTTGTGGTACCTTTTTAAAGTATTCGAAACAATAGATTCAGTTCTGCTGAGACGTCGTGCGATACCTTTTTGTGCATATCCTTCCTCGTACAAAATTACAATATGTGCTTCTTTGGCTTCATCGCAGTGTCGAATTGGTGGCACACTTGTTTTAAACTTTATTAAATCAAAACAATATTTAACTAAACTTATTTTTTTCTCTATGTGAAGAAGGTTTTTTATGATCAAATGTACGAATGACACTAACCACTGAATAACCGTCAAAATATTTCAAACCAATTGAGTACATCAGCGTATCATATGAGTATTATCAGTAATATAAAATTATTTTGAAATAATAGTCACTACAAAAAAAAATGGAAAATTACAAAATATTCGATATTTCTGTCCATGAGTGTATTTGTATATACGGCTATAGGATTTTTCACATTGTTTCCAAAAATATATTTAAATATTGGAAAAGCCCAGAATTTTTAAAACACTGCTTTAGAGCACTTCGCATAATTTTGATAATACATTAAATCTTAGCTATATTAAAACTAAGTTTTGATGAAGAGTTTGGTGGGAAAATCCCTCCAAATGAAGCCGTCCGTCCATATGGAACAAGATCGCAGTCAATGGAGACAGCAGACTAACAATATTTAGGGTGTTACTACGCCCTGACAAGGGCTAAAGGATTGAGGAGGAGGATATTAAAACAAACGTTATGTATTATATATTTATTGGTAATTTTAAAAACAAAACGTAAAATAAACAATCAAAAACAAATAAAGCACATGAATAAAAATAACCAAATAGCGTAAAAACTCATTGTAAGTCAGTTTAAAACATTTGTGGTTGATTAAATAGATATTTCTTCTTAGATTTCCATGATAAACTTGGAAGACCAATCGACGTGGAATTATGTCATTTATTTTTTGTAACGAATCAAAATTAGGTGTGTTAAGTACCCTATTGATTTTGTTGTTAGCAGTATTTTTATTAAGGATAGAGAGTCTGAGTGTTTTATTGTTTTTATTCTGGCTTTGGTAACTGTTTAAATATATTTTCATGACGATACTAACTTTATATTTGTTAAATTGAATGCAAAGCAGGAAGCTTCTTGTATAGATCTTTAACCACTTGCAGATATCTTCTACTGTATTGTGTACAAACTTGTCGGTAAAAACAAAATGGAATAATTGTAGTTCAATCTCTATATTTTTAAGCCATTGTCCTAAAAATAAATTTCTTATAAAAAATATTATTTTAAAGTTTTAAACTTTTAAAATTTTCTTTGAGGTTTTTATAGGTAACGATAATATCATCCATATCTGAGGGGTCTTCCAGTACTTTGCGTAAGACAAACTGGATGGAGAAAGTCATCAATATCAACACAGCACGTCCGAGTAGATGAAAGGAAATGTTCCTGCAAATATAAATAATAGATAAGAATGATGTCCAACCAAATATGTATATGCGGATCAACTGAGCATATTACATAGTGCAGTAACTATGCCATTACTAAATCCTAAATCCAAGTTATTGATGAAGGTTCCATAGACCTTTTGATTAAGAAAATCACAGGTAGTAATAATATATAAATGGAAAGCTAAAATATCTAACCAAGTAGTTCTGGACAGGATGAACAAACAAAAAAAGTCATACCGACTAATTGAATGAAAATATTATAATTCCTGGAATATGTCACTCTTCTTCTTCTTAGGGTGCCTGTCCGTTCCGAAATTTGGCGATCATTGTGGCTATGATGACTTTGTTGGTTGCTATACGAAATAGCTGTGTTAAGGTCTTTCTATACAATGCTCTCAGGTTAGCAAGCCAGGATATTATTGTTCGTCCTGAAACCCTTTTTTCTTTAATTATACCATGTAAGATGCATTCAAGTAGCTTGTCTCTGTCTTGATTTCTCATTATATGTCCCACGCACTGCAGTTTACGGCCCTTCACAATGTTGACCAAATCCGCGGTTGCGTTTATCCTCCGCAGTACTTCTTCATTGGTGACTTTGTCTGTCCATGGTATCTTCAAGATCCTTCTGTATGACCATAACTCAAAAGCCTGAAGTTTTGATATAGTTTTTACCTTCAATATCCACGTTTCTATCCCGTACAGAAGCGCTGAGTACACATAACATTTAAGCAGCCTTATTTTTGTTTCTAGGGTGAAGTCATGGCTCTTGAACATAAAACTAATAGTCAAGAATGCAGTATTTGCCTTTCCGATGCGCCATTTAATCTCTTGGGTATTTTCTCACGACTCATTGGTTATAGTTCCCAAGTTTCCATTATATAGTAGTTGTATTGTGAGACTCGTTTAATTCTCATTTGGTTCACATACAGATTTACTTTAGTTATGTTTTCCTTGCTGATAATCATTAGCTTGGTTTTGCTGGTGTTTATATCCAGTCCATATTTTTTACTTGTTTCCGTTATTGTTTATTAAGTTTTGCAGCCCTTCTATGGTATTTTAAAATACTATTGTATTATCTGAATACTGTAAGTTATTGAGCTTAACTCCATTTATTGAGATACCTCCATCAATATATTTTAGAGCCTCTTTAAAAATGTGCTCCAAGTACAGATTTAAGATCAGTGGTGACATTATGTACCCCTGTCTCACTCTTCTTAAGATTTTAACCTGATCTTTATATTCTCCATATATTTGGAGTACCGCTGATTAATTCCAATACAGGTTAGCTATTATTTTTAAGCCCATTAGGTCAATTCCTGTCCTCTTCAGCACTTCCATCATTTGTTCATGTCTGACTCTATCGAAAGCCTTCTTGTAGTCAATCAGGCATGCAAAAACATTACAGCTGACATCTCTACATTTCTGAAGCAATATCTGCACGCTAAATATAGCGTCCCTTGTACCAAGTGCGTTTACAAATCCAAACTGATTGGGCGCAATTTGTTTCTCGCATTTTCCGGTAAATTCTTTTGTGGATAACTTTTTTAAAAACAGCTTCAGCAGATGGCCCCTTAGGCTTGTGGTTCTATAATATTCACAAACTTCTCCTCCTGGGTTTTGGGCAATGGTATGAACTCCGAGCCACTCTACTCATGTCTGACTTGTATGTGTACTCACCTCTAACGACAACAGTTTTATATTTAGTTTTTGTCAGAATAATCCTTTTGCAGGTTCCCAGTTGAAAATAAAATGGGACCGGTTTTTTCATTAATACGTCCTTATCTTTCTTTCTGTCAAAGACGTCACAGTCTTGGCCAACCTTTACTACTTTAGAATGTTCGGCTATAATATCAATATACTCTGATGGTTTGTAAAGCACCTCTTTTTTTCTAATAAACTTTTCTGAGACTAAAAATACTCGATCTGGTAGAAGATAGCCATAACCTGTTATGGGAAAAAAGAACTCCACCGTTTACATTTTTTGATGCATGTTTAGAAAGCCAAATACAAGCCATGGCCACAACTATTGAATTTTTGTGCTGGTCCCCACTATACTAAACAATAATTTAGTTTATTATTACAATCATAAATGCGTTAATCGGCCTTAACAAACACATTTAAATGCAAGAAGTAAAGTGAGGTAAAAAAACCGTTGACAAAACATCACCAGAGTGATGACAATTACGTGATGTGCCCAACGTACTCTGATTGGTCGAATTGGAGAATGTTAATTTTGCTGAAAATTATGTGTTGGATAATGTGACTTATGTTTCAGAACTTCATTTTCAATATGGTTTTTCGATATTAAAATGAGAGTTTTGGTTCAGGATATTATTACGGTTCGATTCGTCTTTAAAAGACGAATTCATTGATATACATAACTGAAAATATGAAAATTTGGATAATGTAAATTTTTCATCTGCACATTTCTTATATATAAATTATAAAAAATGATAAAACTTACATGTAAGATCGGGCGTAAACGTTTTGAGCACCCAAACTCTATTTATATTGTTATATTCTGGTAAAAAAAAAAGGTGACAGACGAGAATGCAACAACTACAGAGGTATAACTCTCCTGAGTATCCCTTCAAAAGTTTACGAACAATTACTGGAGAAAAGACTACTACAAGAAGTAGACCATAAGCTGGAGTAGTCACAGAGCGGTTACAGGAAGGGAAGAAGCATCCATGACCATATTTTTACACTCAAGCATCTAATACAAAATGCACGAAATACAAGCACGGAACTATACCAAGCCTTCATAGACCTCGAAAAAGCATTTGATAGAACCCCGCGAACTGAAATAGACAAGAGCATAAGAAACAGAGAAGTAGACGGCAAACTCAGAAAAGCTATTATGAGCCTATACAAGAACACAAGAAACAGGGTAAGAACAGATAATATGGAATCAGAAGAGTTTAGAGTCAATGATGGCTTACAACAAGGAGGTGTACTAGACCCCATCCTGTTCAATATTGTACTAGATGATATAATGAAGGAAACTAGAGAAGAAACATAGAGATTATTTGTTTGACATAGAAACCTGGAAATGATACAGATTGCGGAGTGCGCATTTGCAGATGACCTCGTCGTATTTGGAAGAAACGAGGACGCACTTAAGAGAAACCTCCAAATATGGAGAGATAAACTTGAGAAACGCAATCTGAGAATTAATGAAAGGAAAACCAAAGTGATGGTATGTGGGAAAACAGACCAACATACAAACATTAAAATCAATAACTATACTTTAGAACAAGTAGAAACCTTCAAATACCTGGGAGTGCAACTAGAGAGTAGGGGTACACAAGAAGCAGAGATAAATAATCGAATAGCAAACGTTTCCCGGATATACCACGCAATTAAGAGCACATTCATATCGAAAAAAGAAGTATCCCAAAAAGCAAAGATAGCTATCTACAACACAGTTTTTGTACCTATCTTAACATTTGGATGTTAAAACTGGACGCTCACCACCAGACTAAAAAGTAAACTGCAAAGTATATCAATGAAGTATCTAAGAAGAGTACTAGGGGTGACCAGAATGGACAGGATACGGAACAATGAAATAAGAGAACGCCTTAAAGTCCAGTCAATAGAGAAGAAAAACGAAGAAGCCCAACTGAGATGGTACGGCCACATGGTAAGGATGGATAAAAAAGCCAAGTGAAACAAGTGTGGGAAGCGAGAAGAACCTTGAAAAGACTGAGGGGCAGACCCATGAAGACCTGGGACGATAAAATTGCCGCCACCCTAGACAGGAGAAGAGTCACCAAGGAGCAAGCGAAAAAGTTGGTAAGCAACAAGAAGAATTGGAGGAAGTTTGTACACGAAAACTAAAAGAGACTTTACTTTTACCATTAAGACAGGTTTAAAAAGTATAGTCACCTAAAAAGGGCCTCTAGTATTTCTTGTAAAGAAAGATAACATCAATTACACCTAATTACATATTAATTACACTGTTTTTTCTTTCCATTCTCTGTATGAGTTAATATACACCAGTAAAACATGCCATCTATCAAGTTTTACTATTTTTACAACAAATTTTAAAAATTTTATGATGTATTATGTCCATAATTGTATATTTTAATGTGTGGTATAAATGTTGAGTGTCAATGCTTACAAAAATAATCTCAACGACTAGTAAGTTACACTGAAGAATTGTGATATTTTAAATATTTACATAATTGTCTTTTACAGTGTCTTGAAAAAGGAATAAAACCATTCCGAAAGCTCGACAAAAAGTCAAAAGAGTGTTTTTTTTTAACATCCGGCCAATATTCTGACTGCAACCCTAATAAACTATCTTGTTTGTATATATATATATATATAAATATATATATATATATATATATATATATATATATATATATATATATATATATATAGTATATGTTGAAAGGTAATTTTTTCTCTATACGACACTTAAGTTTTTTTTATTTTACGTAATAACTTTGAAAGTAATTTTGGATTTAACTAATTTATTGGTTGAATATCAGTACCACAGAATATTGAACAATCAGAATCCCCACTTTCCATGGAAAATTAAGTACGCGCGTCTCGTTCGCGCAGACATTCCGCCATTTTTTTAAAGGGAACCAGTGTTGTTTATGTGGTGTGCATAGAAAACTTAACCCGGTTTAGTTAACATACAGCAATCATAGACATACTATACAATTATATTAACATTGTTAAATAACATAAATATAATATAATTAAACATAAATATAAACAATTACATAACCTCACAAATCATATGTCTGTGTTAGGTGTTTCCTTCTAAAACATGGCGCGCGTGCTGAAAAACTTCAAAGGCGGTATCTGGGAGTGGGCATTCTGATTGTTTATTATTCTGTGATCAGTACTAACAAGAAAAACAGAAAATTTCACAACATCAACAGATTAATTTTGCTATAGAGACTGTTGTTTCGATTACAAAAGTGTACCACTCATTAAACCAATTTTGTTTTAGACTTTTCTTGCGTGTAGCTGTTAGATCGCTTACCTATATCTAGCTAAGTTACTTCTGATACCTTTTAAATCTCTCGCAAAAAAATTTGCTTTGACGTTACAGGAAATACCAAAGTATCCGTTTACCCAGAATTATGTTTCTTCAGCAGCTTTAGCTTCAGCAACGTGGGTTTTTTAAAGCTAACAATACAGAACTTAAATCTGACATAATTGCAACTTGGTGATTAGAATTTTCTTTTTAACAGTCCATTCTGGAGCTTTAGAAATTCCAAACATTTCTGCAGATTAAATGGAGCATCGATTGTCTAACTTGAGCATTACGCATTATTGGTGGTACGAAATATATACAGCACAATTGACTCCCATTCTTGATTTTTAATCATCCATGAAAAACCTACATGTATTAGCTTTGCTATCTGATACTGAAAATCAATTGAATTCCCATTGTCAAAATTTGGGAAACAAACATTGACTTTGGCATAGCCAGATATCTAAGTTTCATTAAAAGACAATTAATGTACCTGGACTGTTTAGGTATTAGGTTAATATAATAGTTTGTCATCTCATTTTTTACCTTGCCAAAAAATTACAAATAAACAATGACTGTTTTGATTTGGTTTTATTATTTAACAATTATGTGTAGCATTGGTTTTAATTTTATGTTGTAGGTACATATTTAAATTGATTGAAAATATGAGAACTAGAATAAACAGACTTATTGCTCTTGATCCAAATCCAGATGAGTCTAGTGATGAGTCTACTGCCAATGCTAAGAAAGAAATTAAATTAATTAACATTGTAAAAAAAGATTTCCTTTAATAAAACCGTATTTATGAAACATCTCATCTAAAAATTTATCAAGTAAAACAATGGCTCAAAGTAAATAAGGAATCAAAATGACCAAAAATAACAATAAAACAATTATTATATATCGTAAACCGTAAAAATAATTACGTATAAGTGAAAAGTTAATATGATTGTTTTGCAGTAAATTAGATGAATTGAGAGTGTCAGTTGAAAATATATAATATTCTATATTCTATAAGTCATAGTACTCTATATTTGTGATGCTTACGGACACATACTATGCACTTGTTTTATAGTAGATAAAAAATATAAACACCTTAAAAAAAACTTTTGGACGATTAACCCCATAATGTTTATTTTGATACAGGGAAGAACATTTTTTTTTTAATGATTTCCTTTTAAACATACATCTTAATCATAATGTCATTAGTTTAATTAACTGAATAACTTGTATACAAAGTGATTTATTCAATCGTTCAGTACTAGTAAATAATTAAGCGCATTTAAAAACATTTTACAGGTACATGCTACATGATATAGAATTATATTTTAAAAATATTTTGTACCCTTATCCTTTTCCTCATTATTTCAGCCCTTGTCAGGGCGTGGTGATACTCTAAATATTATTAGCTTGCTGTCTCCATTGGCTGCGATTCTGTGCCATATGGACGGTCTCATGAAGGGACTTTCCCACCAGAATCTGCCCATCGTATTGGTGATCTTCCTCTTAGTCTTTGGCCTACTATCTTTTTTTATACTACCAATAGTTCCATGGTCCTCGCTTTTTTAGCTATGTAGCCGAAGTACGCCTATGCTCGGTTTACTTTTTTTAATAGCGTATATTTTTTATGAAGCTCTTCTAGAATTAACGGGTTAGTAGTTTTATGTTCTGTTCAGGATACACGTAGAATTCTTCTATAGACCCACATTTCGAAGGCACAGAACACAGATTATTCGTTATGGAAGGCAACAAAAAGAATGAAGAGACCAATTATTAATTCTCTTCCTATCAAGTTGGAAAACGGCAACTGGGCTAGAAGTAACGAACAGAAAGCAGAACGATTTGCAGATCATTTAGAAAGCACGTTCAAACCCAACGACAATGATGGTGAAGAACTGAGATGGGAAGAACCATTCCAAACTAAAGAACAAATAACGTTGACATCACTTAAAGAAGTATCAACAGAGATAAAAGAGAATATAAATCCTAAGAAAACTCCAGGATATGATCTCATAACAGGAGAACTATTAAAAAATCTACCAAGAAAAACCATAGTTAAGCTGACACACGTAATAAATGCTGCTTTTAGATTGAGATATATTCCCAGACTCTGGAAAGTAGCCGAAGTGATTATGATCGCCAAACGACGTAAATCTCCTAATGAAGTGACATCCTGTCGACCAATATCACTCATTCAGGTGATGTCAAAACTATTTAAAAAACTTCTATTGAAAAGATTAAAACCAATAATAGAAAGAAAAACTCTTATACCTAATCATCAATTTGGTTTCAGAAATCAACATTCCACTATAGATTAAGTTCACAGAATAACGAATATAATAGAAAAAACATTAGAAGAAAATAAAGTCTGCTCTACAATCTTCTTGGATGTAGCACAGGCGTTCGATAAAGTCTGGCATGACGGTTTAAACTATAAACTAAGAACGTTCATGCCTAAACAGTATTCAGAAATCTTAAAATCATACATTGCGAATAGATATTTCAGAGTAAAACAAGAAGAAGTGTACACCGACTTAAGGGAGATCAAAGCTAGCGTGCCACAAGGCAGTGTCTTCGGTCCGGTCCTGTACCTATTGTATACGTGTGACATTCCAAAGCAAGAACAAAATACTATTGCCACCTTCACGGATAATACAACCATACTAGCGATATGAGACACTAGTGAAGAAGCGACTAATAAAATGCAACTATAAGTAAATAAAATACATAACTGGACTAGAAAATGGCGAATAAAATTAAATGAGACTAAATCTGCACACATTAACTTTACAAATAAAAAAATAGAAAATTTCCCAGTTAGAATAAATGATACCCGAATTCCATATGCAACATCAGCAAAATACTTGGGCATCACACTAGACGCGAAGCTGCGCTGGAAAGTCCATGTCAAAAAGAAAAGAGGGGAGCTTGATATTAGATATAAGAAATTCTATTGTCTAATTGGAAAAAATTCAACATTATCAATTCATATAAAATATCCATCTACAAGCAAGTACTAAGGCCAGTATGGGTATATGAGTGCCAACTCTGGAGCTGTACTAAAGCTAGTAATCTACATATTATCCAGAGATTTCAAAACAAAGTACTAAGAAACATTGTTGATGCTCCTTGGTATATCCGTAACAGCAACCTCCACCAGGACCTGGGTATGGAAACTGTGATCAAAATGATCAAAAGAACAGCAGCAAGTCACGAGCAGAGGCTACATAGTCATGTGAATGTCGAGGCAATTCAGCTTTTTGACAACACTGAACTGAAGAGAAGACTCTAAGGACAAAACCATTTGAGTTAGTGTAAAACGTTTAGTGTAAAAAGCAGAGTACAGTGCTGTGAAGTTATTGCATGTTAGTTGTAGTGCATTAGTTGGTGGATAAAATAAGAGTAAGCCCAAGGGTAAGCCCTTAGATTTAAGCATTTGCTGTTTATTAAGTTAGGTCAGAAAATAACTGATAATTGGTCATTTGTGACCAGATACAAACACCGCACATGTGTTTATAGAAAGAAAAAAAAAAAAGTATTGTGTTTGCAAGTTTTTGTCTGTATATAAAATTGTATTAAAATAAATTACTTTAAAATGGTTAGGCAGTGAATTTATCTGTATACTTAATATTATACTAAATGGAGAATTAAAACTGCAACCGATATAAAATCTATTTTTTTACAAAGTAGATCATAACAATGAATATCATAGTAATAATTCAATAAGGATTTATATAAGATGTTTGTCTTTTCAATAAGATGGTTCTCATACCAGCACATTATTTTCTACCAGGAGGTAGTTTTTTAACACTTCTTTGTCTCAAGCGGAATGTGATATCTTTAGATATTTCTTACCTTTAAACGGTACTCCTCGTTGTATATATATTAATCGGGAGTCAACGTGCCTTAGCTTACTGGAATTTTCAGGATTTTTGTCACGTCTGGTAAGTACTTTATCATTTTTTATGTGATTCATACTCTTACTTTGCTCATACTCTATCAGAAATTTTTTATATGCAGATTTATGCGGAGTAAGAATACTTTTAACAGGCCCGTCAGTTTGACCGCTGGATGCTGCTGGATTTGGTGCTTTGTAGCTTCTGGAATTGCTTGTATTAGGTTGGTCATCTTCACTGGTGGATGCTTTATTATCTTCTTCTTGTATGTTATTTAGAACTAACTCTTTGTCTGTAATATATAGTACAAGTTGATTGCTTTGTTTTGTGGATGCTTGGAGTTTTTGAAGCTCCTCTGGTTTTTTATCGTTTGTATTTTTAGAATGGTCATTTTGTAGGATGGATGCTTTGTTGGTTTCTTCTTGATTGTTTGTAAGTGAGTCTGCAGGTTTTATGTGCTCAGTATTTGGACCAGGAGAAAATGTGTGTTGTTCCTTTTTCTTTTTATGCTCTGCTACCTTCTTAACATGTTTCAGATTTTTTGTTGTTTTCTTGGATTCTTGGTTTAGATTTTCTTGGCTGGTGGATATTTTATGATTTGCATTTTGTGTGTTATTAATTGGAACTGGTTTTTCGTCTATAGGTTTAGGCACACCATATACTACATGTTGATCACTATGAGTTATAAATGATTCCCAATGGTATTCCTGGTTCTTATAAAGTTTATCTAACTTGTTTTCTATGGACTTTTCAGTTTTACTTACTTTAGGTTGATTATTTTTGCTAGTCAATGATTTATGATTTTCTGATTGGATGTTGTTAAGTTTAAGTAGCTTTTGGGCAGCAGCTGTTTGTTCTATACTGCTTTCTATAGGTAGATTACTCTGGTCTATCAATGGCTTATGATCTTCCACTGCTTTCATTTTAAGTTCGGCTTGAGTTTGATCTTTAGCTTTTTTAATTAGATTATTTGCTTTATTTTTTTCATCTTTTTGTACTTGGTTCCTCGTTGTGTCTTCTATAACTCGTAATGCTAACGTTTCTTTTGCAGGTATTGATGTTTTAACAACTACTGTGCTATTTTTTGCTTTCTCCTTCTTTCCAAACTTAAAAAACCGGAAAAAACTAAGTTTTTCTTTCTTTTGTGGTTGGACATCGATAATAGTCATTGGTTCACACCTTACCCACATACATTTTTGATGCTTTTCTTGTTTAGTATAGGCAGGGCAGAGTTGGACTTTCATATTATCTTTAACTTTATTATTATTTTTTTGTTTAGATTTCTGCTTTTGCTTTTTCCTTTTTAAACTGACTTCAATATTAACGTTAATATTTTTCAGATCTGTACGACTCTTTACGGAGATTGCAAGCGGCATTTTTTTGCATGGCTTTTCAGTATTTACGTAACTTGTTTTAGAATTGGATTGGCAAAGATTTTGACAACCTTCAATGGAGTGTTTTTCTAGTAATTCATTGGAAGACAATTCTTCGTGAGGGGAATACACATCGTTTGAAGAATTGGCGTTAATATTATTATTTTTAAAACAGTTCATGTTACCATGTCTTCGGCACTCAATTTTAACAAAATATTCTGTTTGGCAATTTTTCTTACAATCTTCGTTTTCTTTAGTTTGGCTTCTATTTAAATGGCTGTGTGAGTTTATTTGCGTACCGCATGTATTATGTCTAAAAGTAGTTGAATTAGAATTGATTATTTCATTTTGAAAGTTATTTTCATTTTCAAACCCAGAAGAATTTATATGTTGATTTGTTGGTGACTCCATTTTTTGAGATTTTATAGAGTTTAAACTTTCTTTATCTTCGGCTAATAAATTAGACGATGATATTCCAACATCTTTAAATGTTGTAAACCTGGCTGTTTCGTGATATTTTCTACTACATCTCATTTTAAAATTTTGATAATATTGACAAGGTCTTTTCTTCTCTGTTTTGAAATGTTGTTCGTGATAAGGTGTTATTGGGCTTTGTATATTTGGAGAAACACAATGAATACCTCGTCCATACCAAGTTTGTTTATTATATGAGCTGCGCAAACAATGTTTACATTTAAAACTAGTTCCATATTCAGCTGGTACGTGCACAGGATTCCCATCATTTTGTTGTTTTACCATTTCAAACACGTTATTCTCTAATTGGCAATTTTTTTTCGGTTCATATTCTTTTTCATTTCTCATGGTCTTCTAGAAAGTAATTGCAGGTTCAGCAAATGGAAAACAACCTACAAACTGGTTGGTGAGGTAATGTAGGATGAGTACTACGAGTGTGCCAAAAATGAAAAATTTAATACAACATGAATTTGGCAGATATTTGGAAATGGAACCTTGACTACTACAGTGACAGCACTGACACGTTAAACAGGAATCATACATTGTATCATTTTACTTCAGAATTAAAATATATATAAATATAGGTTTGTTAATTTACTAAAAATTTTGACGTTTATAGGGAACTTTGACAAAAATGTTTCAACCTTGTCCATATATTATGTCAAATATGTTATTTTAAAATCACACAAGATGGAGCTAGACAGTTATTTCTTCTTCCATTTACCCAGTACATGTAAGGTTATGCTCGTCTTGCTCTAGGCAATGCACAACCAGGAATAAAAATTTCTGTTTACTTAAATGATACCTAACTTTTATATGTTAGGAAAATCCAGTATTTTCTGAATTTATTTTTTTTTCTTACTTTGACAAGTGAGAAATTTTTATAGATCTATTTGAAACAATTTGATAAATTTAATAATTATTTTTATAACTTTTTAAAGAGTTTGTATGGAGTACCATGTGAAGATATTGAATTATCTATTTCTGGTTTTAATAATTCTAATCTTCTTCTTCTTCGCGTGCCATATCAGAATTATCCCACGTTGACGATCATCATTGCGAAGGCTTCTCGATCTTCTGCAATATGAAATAATTGTCCTGCATTTCATATCTGAGTCCATTTACGAATGCTTTGTAACATTTCTTATACAGATCCATATTTTTGTGTTTGTTTATGGGACATTCAAAAAAGATGTAGATCACTGTTTCAATGGTTCCACACTGTTTTACCTATTTTTTAGAGATAGCAAGGAGTTTTACAATGTCCAGTACGTAAACGATTAATATTCAAAATCACACTGCAATCTACAATAATCTAGATCTACATCTTTAATTTGGGAATGCCATTTATTGTAAAATTATGTTAAAATGTATTTTTTTTGTAGCACAAGAGATATCTATACTAATATTCTTTATATCATATGATACTCTTAATTCTCTTCTAATATTCGCCAACCTATCTGCTCCCTCATTACCTTCCCTGATGTCCAGGTGCCCATTCTATTCCTATTAAAAATCACATATTATGAGCTTCTACCAATAGTTTTTTGGTTATTATGGTTACATAGTCCATTTGATCCCATTTGAGACTAGAAATTTTGGATAAAGCACTTTTTAATCCACAAAGATAACTGCTTTCATGATCTCCTTAATGCACACAGAGATAGCTTTATACAGGGTGTCCCATAATTAATTGGATATTAGCTAATGGATGCTAGCTGACATCAAAATAAAGCATTTGAGCTCAAATTGCTTTGGCAAAATGTTGCTAGTTTTCGTTCTACAGGGTGATACATTAATATTTTTTTATATTATTTTTAGGGATATATTGAAAACTATTCAACCGATTTAAGTAAAATTTAGTATCTTGCTATTATTTAGTATGCTTAATATGAAAATGATATTAGTTTTACCGATGACACTAGGTGGCGCCACCTACTATAACATTGGTTCATTAATGGAGCCATATTTTTTTCCCTCCCTGTATAAACATTCTAGGAAAAAAAACATGAAATACCATTTAATTCTACACAAAAAAGGTATTCTTGTTTCAAATCAAAAAAGTACACCGTTTTCGAAATAAACGTATTTTTTAGAGACGTGCATAAAATTTTACAAAAACTTATGTACTCATAAAACATTATTCAAAAGGTCTTAAATAAAAGTGAATATTAAATGTATTAGTAGTAGATAATTTTTGCAAACAAAATGCATATGATTGAAACAATTATTTTTATTAAACCTTATTTTTATTAAACCTTAAGTGAATAATTCAAAACGAAACGAAAAAAAATTACAATAAGTGTTCAAAATGTGCACCATTAGATAAACTACATAATCTATATCTTTTGTGTAAGTTTTGTCTTATTTTAAATAATGAGTTTGTTTGGGCCCTAATTACGTTAACTTCCTCTACGATATTTTGCCATAACTTTTGACGGTTATTTATTTTTTTTTTATAAACAAGTGACTTTAGGTAGCCCCAAAAGTGAAAGTCTAGGGAATTTAGTTCGGGACTGCGTGCTGGCCATGGGTATACACTACCTCTACCAATCCACCTTTGAGGATAAATTTCACCTAGATAATTTCTAACTTCTAGGCTATAATGTGGTGGTGCACCATCATGCATGTACCAAGAGTTCCGTCTCAAATTTAGAGGTATGTCTTCTAAAAGAGTTGGTAAATCTTTTCTCAAAAAATTTAGATACGTTACTCAGTCAAGCCTAGTTGGTAATTCGAATGGTCCTACAATACAATCCCCAAATATGCCACACCAGATATTTATGGAAAACTCGTGTTGAAAATGATGTTCTTGAAATGCATGAGGATTTTCTGTCGCGTAGGTATGGCTATTGCGCCAGTTAAATACACCCAATCTAGTAAATGTGGCTTCATCGGTAAATAAAATTTTATTATTAAACATTGGATCGTCGAAATGCCGCCCCATCATAAACTGACTAAATCGGAGCCTTGCTGGAAAATCCTGTGGTAAAAGATTCTGTACTGGAGTAAAACGATACGGATACAGATTTTCTATCCGTATTATTCTTGACACCGTAGATTTGCTTATACAAGTGGCCGTAGAAACAAGCCTTGTACTCGTTTCTGGATCTTCTGCAACACACACAACAATTTCATCCTCCATATCCGCATCAATTGCTCTCGGTCTTCCAGCATTCCTGTTTTTGGGATGAAATGGCCCTGTTCCGCCTAATCTGTCGAACAATGATCTAATAGTTTTATGGTTTGGTTGCCTTCTATTGGGATAAAGTTCGAAATAGAGTTCAGCTGCTTTACAAGAACAAAAATTTTCCTGGGCATACAAACAGATCATATCGCGCATTTCTACATTAGAAAATTCACTATGACGTATCATTTTTACTTTATCTTAAGTGGTTTATAAAAAACTTAATAGCACTTTGACAAATAATGACTCGCACTGCACTTTGACAACTAATATTACCTAAATAAATTCGTAGTTACGTCTTGACGTTGTCATTAAGTTCAAAGCATACCTGTTTTGCAAAAAATTAAATATTTTTATTTAAATTTAATATTTAAATAAAACACAAATAACCGGTTTAAAATATATTAATTTCGTTGAAGTCGTATAATAGAAGTATAACTTCTTACCTGCGTACAAAGTACACACATATTCTTTTTTAATAATAGACTCGCACTGCACTTTGATAACAAATAGTAAACAAATTCGTACTTAGGCCTTGAGTTTGCCATTAAGTTCACAGCATACCTAGGTACCTTCTCGTTTTGCGAAAAACAAAATACGTTTATTTCGAAAACGGTGTACTTTTTTGATTTGAAACAAGAGTACCTTTTTTGTGTAGAATTAAATGTTATTTCATGTTTTTTTCCTAGAATGTTTATACAGGGCGGACAAAAAAATTATGGCCCCATTATTGAACCTATGTTACAGTAGGTGGCGCCACCTAGTGTCAATTGGAAAACTAATATCATTTTCTTATTAAGCATAATAAATAATAGCAAGGTACCAAATTTCACTTAAATCGGTTGAATAGTTTTCAATATATCCATAAAAATAATATAAAAAAATTATAATGAATCTCCCTGTAGAACGAAAACTAGCAACATTTTTCCTAAGCAATTTGAGCTCAAATGCTTTATTTTGATGTCAGCTATCACCCATTAGCTAATGTCCAATTAATTATGGGACACCCTGTATATAGCTATCATTTCAGTTGTAAAGATTTGTGTGTAATTATGAAGTTAATCAATGCGTGGTATATAAATTCCAAATCCGGATTGGTTACTTTGTGGGTCGATAGATCCATCTATATATTATGATTACTATATATTCTACCATATTTTACTAAAAACATTTTATTAGATTCAATTTAGTATTTTTCATATTCTAGGCTTTTATCTGTAATAGGATATAAAAGAATATTTCTTTCTACTTCATATATAGGATTAATTTTATATCGGATTATATTTTTTGGTAGCTTTTTTTTCAAAATTGGTTATTTGCATTTATAGCTTTATTTAACATATTTAAACTTCTTATTACTATGTGATTTTTTTTCAGACATTTGTTTTAATATGTATTTATGAACCCTATTCCTAAAAAGGAAATATTTCCCTTCTAACTTTTAGTGTGGATACTGAACATTCTTCTTGTAATATTAAAATTGGTGTAGAACGTAGATAACCTGTTATAATCCTTAAGGCCACTTTTTGTACTTGTTCCAACTTTATCATCACAGACTAGGCGGGATTTGCAGAAATTCAGACCATAATGGACATTTTCCATAGGAAGCTATTTTCTTGCTGAAATCCCTTCAGGATGTGCCCAATATCGATAATCACGATATGCGCCAATCGCAAACCCTGTGCTAAATTTTTTATTTAACAAAATCTGAAAACAATTGAAAATTTCTCATTTTTTGCTAATATTTTCGTTTATAATTTGGAAAATATTGATACTAGAGAAAAAATTATAAGAAGTTAAAAGTTTCGATATTCAATTTTACACAATATTTCTTTAGCCAGAAATTGAAAATTTAATGTTTATTGTTGAAAAAATAGCAATAATTGGAAAAAAAGTACAAAAAAATAAAGTTACGCCTTTAAATGTTTTCGAGTTTCTAAACTTGACTTACAAGCTCCATATTCGGCCTAGAAAAACTTTTTAATATTTATGTTTAAAACGTTTGCTAAATTTTGTTAAGGTAGGTCGGATAGGTCTTGCATAATAATTTTGCAATCCAGCCTACTGGAAAAAAATAGCAAATTTTCAAATTTATATTAGGCCCTAAATAAGTCCCACTGATAGTTGCATTTTTTTACATATAAAGAAAGGCTCAAACTTTCAAATGCTTTGTAAAATTTAAATAGGTTTACTAGGAGAGCCTAGAAAATTTTTTAAAGTTTTAAACATTTTTTAGGCTTATAAACAAATTGAATAACTTTACGAGCTTTAAACATATCAATTTTAAAATTTATATACTTAAAAACAATAAAAGATGCTTCTTAAAAAAAATACATTCGGCTTACTGGTTACCGAGATATTGAAGGTAAAAGTTTGCATACATTTGCCGTGTAACCATAAGCAAAAGAGGGCTCGTTTTTAAACAAATAC